AGGAAACTGAAGGCAGTTTCCGGCTCCGTTGGTGACAGGAGATGGGAACATTTGGACGAAGTTCAGTATCGCTAATGGTTTCACCTTTCGCCCCCTAACATTGAGATGAAACATTTTTGCAGCACATCAGCGAGCATTATCCCATCAATTAATGTGCCTGTTGATATTTTATCCTTATTATTTCTATTTCTTACATTTTACAAACGGTTTCTCGTCATCTTTCATAAAAATGGAATATAAACACAATCATGTTACTTGTGAGTAGTCAGTTTATTACTGCGATTTTAGCCTGAGGGGAGACTGTCCATCAGATCTACCTCAAAAAGTTTTGTATCCGTCTCGATGTTTGGGCGTGGACACTTGTCGCCTGATTGATGAATCCTCGTGAATGGTTCATCGTTAAGTAAGTGTATCCCAAGGATGGCAGCTTTCTGTATGCTACCCATTCATCGGAGTAAATGATGGATCCAGGCATTATACACCGTCGTATTATCGGCAATCAGGTGCTTGCCGATCGGTTGTCCACTCGTTCGAAGTATCCTCTTCCTTCAATTCTGCTATACATCCAAAAAAAGGGAAACAGATTTCGATGGTCGTCCACATCCATATTTACACTTGTTCACAATGTTTTGATCTATTTCCACAAATATGGGGAATCGGTTAGAACGAACAGATTTCCCGACAGAACACGTAACACTGAATTGTTGACATTTCAGACAAGTGGCACATGCTGCTCGCCAACACCACCGGAATTTCCTGGACGAAATTCCCTATTTAGCGCATAAAAATGAGTGAACATATAAAAAAATTAACGTAATTAGATATTTAGAACACAATTTCAGGCGAACAATTGTTTTCAATAACTCATAATTATGCCGTTTCAGTTTATATGAGGGGGAAACCTAAGGGTTGGGAACAATAAAATATGAGGAATCGTTCACTTCACGTGTGCGTGTCTGTGTGTTGCATACCGCATTCTCAAATCTGTGCTTCCGGGATTTTCAGTTATGTCACGACGGTCGTATGACCCAGTTCTGAGGGATCGGTGTTGTTGTGTGAAAACGTTTGTGTGTGCGGGTAGGAGGGGGGGGGCATGGGG